CAGCGCTGCAACTTTGCAGATATTGTTTATGCTCCAACAGCAACATTACACACTAACTAACGCTAAAAAAGTGAAATCGCAATCAACCACCACTTTAAAATGTATTGAAGTAATAAAGCATTACAAAATTATCTAAACTGATAAATAACAGATTGGAGATTAAAATAATAGCAGATTTGTCTCATTTGAAATGAGTAATAAAAACTGAGATGAAAAATTGACTTAAGCCAGAAATATAATTTTACTATGGTAAAATAAATGTTTAGCGATATCTTCAAAAGACTTTTGAATTTTAGCGCACTTTTTTTCTCTATATAATGTTGATATGGTAAGTAGTAAATGCTGTAAATTTGGTTATGCTAGCATGTGTGGAAATATTTAAACCACGTGTGTTACAACTTACCCCGCGTTATTTTGTGCCTCGTGCTCCCCTACATTTTTTAAAATTAAAATGCTTAAGTATTACAGTTGTTTTAAAGCTAAAAGGTTAAACTATTACATGTTTAACTCAAACTGAAAGAATTAAGAGTTTTATTTCTATGCATCAATGTTTATAGGGATTTTATGAAGTAATCAATGATTCGAATAATTAAGTTACTTATTGAGTACATTTACATTTACATTAACATTTAGTCATTTAGCAGATGCTTTTATCTAAAGCGAGTTACAAATGAGGACAATGGAAGCAATCAAAATAGCAATGATATACAAGTGCTATAACAAGTAATTAAGTATTATTGAGTAATTAAGTTACTTTTCAGACCGAGTAATTATAAAAGTAATTTAAATACAATATTGATGTTGTAAATAGTAATTCGTAATTAATTACTTTTTTCTAAAGTAACTTACCCAACACTGGTGGTAAGTGTTTTTTTTGTTTTTTTAAGAAATAAATTTATAAATGCAACATCATTTATAAATAATTTGTTGATGACAGTAAAGACACTTACAATGTTACAAAATATTTCTGTCTAAAATAAATGCTGTTCTTTCATCAAATAATCCTGAAAAATTCCCAACAAAAATATGGTTCCACTTGATATAAGGAGTCTTTAACTACTATGCACTTATGTTAAGTAAATAAATAAAATAAATAATTTTAAAATAAAATACCTATTTGTCATGCTGGTTTTTGTTTCTTGTTTAGTTTTTCTTGTCCTTTATTTTGTATTTTCTTGCCTTGGTTCCTGCCTTGTCATGTGATCCTGCCATGTGGTCCTTTTGTTCATGTTACTTGTTCTCATTAGGTGTGTTCGACTTGCTAACCACTGTTGGTGAGTTTGTTTTTATGGTCACGGCCCCTTCATGTTTCTTGTCACGCCAAGGCTGTTTGGATTACCAATTACCAAAGTTTTGAATGGCAGTATATATGTATACATCCCTCTATCCTCTCAACTTCAAATCAACTTGGAATCACTGAGATAAATAAATTCATTAGACATATCCTTTGAAATAGTTGAGAAGGCAACTGAAACTTATTCAAACTTCGAAAAAATGTCAAGTTGAAGTATTATGGTATATGACATCAGATAAAGCATATAAACCCATGTTATGTCAGCGGGTAATAATTGTTATTGTTATTGCAATTTACTTTGACTGCTGAGCTGCTAAAAAAATATGTGAGTAGTTTACAAGTAATTTATGTTTTTAAATGAGGTATTATAATAATAATAAATGTCACTGATCTCAGTTGCTTGTGTCGGTGTTGACTTACTCTTGTGGTGTAGGCGGCTTCCGGGTCGTCCTCCAGCACTCTGGACAAGCCGAAGTCTGACACTTTGCACACCAGGTTGCTGTTGACCAGGATGTTCCGAGCGGCCAAATCTCTGTGCACGTAACCCATATCCGACAGATACTTCATACCAGATGCGATGCCACGTAGCATGCCCACCAGCTGAATCACTGTGAACTGGGCGTCGTGTTTCTGACAGAGACGGGAAGAAGGGAAAAGTCAAATACGGCATTTTATATCTACTGTATAAGCATAAGTCATGCTATGGGTTATAAAACAATGCAACATTGTTGACTCATATCTCAAAACACTGCCTGACATTTCCGAAGTCATCTGTCATGAGCTAACTCAAAACCACTCATGAAATGGTTTTGTTGAAAGAAGCAGATCTTTGACTTAATAAACAGGAGAGTTTGACTGTCTTTTCTAGTTCAATCCATGGTGTGCGGCAACTTGTTGAAGAATATAAATAGGATGTACACACACAAGCTGACTGCATATCTGAACTGAAGTCCGCTGGCAGGCTCGCAGTGTTTACACTGGTGCGTGTGAATAGGCCTATTATATGAAGAATGATATGCTTAGGAATTGGAGATAAACACCAGGGGATGAAGTGCTTCAGCAGGAGAGGGAGAGACTGGCCGGATGAGTGAGATAGCATTGATTTGTCAGGGAGCTCTGGAGAAATGGATTTCTATACCAAAAACAGTCAAACTGCAGTCTTATTGCAATAGTTCTCCCAAAAATGCTTTTACTCATCTTCATGTACAGTCGGTCCAAATTCGGTTTGACTTTATTTCTTCCGTAAAACATAAAAGGCAACATTCTGAAGACTGTACTGATCATTCTTTTCCAAGCAGATCAAATAAATGCCAACCATGTTTTATTTTATTATCACTGTTTTACTATTACAGATTTTTATATTTTGAATTAATATTTCGATTTTGTGAATATTTTGATTTTATTTTGTATAATTTTAGTAACTTTATTTAGTGTTTTTATTTTGTTATTTATTTATTTTTATAATATGTCTATATAGTTTTTATTATTATTATCATTATTATTGTTTTAATTTAGTTTAGTTTATTTCAAGTAATTATTTTTTCAGTGGTTTTAGTTTTAGTTAAAGTTCATAACCTTGATATAACATGGTGCTTTCAAGCATCTGAAAGGAAGTCAAAGCACCATAAAATATCATAAAAGTAGTCTATTGGGCTCTAGCATTATTTCAAAGCTTCTGAAGTCACTATAGACCATAAAACTATATACTGTAACTATAGATGAGAAACATAGATATATTAGAAAATGTAAGTTGTTATTAACTGCTTAAACTGACATCCAAGTTTGTGAAAGCGTGAGAATATGCAAGACATGGACAAATTGTTCAAATCAGACTTTCTTTTTTTAATTAATCATTTGAGCCATCAATCATTTGATTGATTTGTTTCATAAATGTGGTCTGAATGATTTATTCACATATTCTCTTCTCTCATGAACTTTCATGAACTCACCAAGAAAAGCTAAGGCAGACGTCAAGATGCTTCGGTGAATCACATCTTTCAGTCTATTTCTCATACTTATTATTTCAAAAGACTTCAAATATTCTGCATGGGTCATATGAACAACTTTCATGATACTTGGTTATCCTGAACTTGACTGCTCCATTTCTCATTCAATCCAATTGCATGGAAAAAGCACCAGCACATCCTCCAAAACTGTCTGCTTTTGTGTTCCATGGAACAAAGAAACTCAAACAGGTCTGGAACGACATAAGATGTAAACAATGTCAAAATCTTTATTATTGTTTGAACTGTTCCTCTAGTTGTCCAGTGTGAGTTTCGCTCTGTCTACCTCTCATTCTGTGTCTCTGTCCACACTATTTTCCCTTTCTTTGTATGCGAGTGTTTATGTACTGCATACAAATTAAGTTTGGATGAAAATAAACCCTGGACCACCTGGAAGAGAAAGGAGCTCAGAGAGGTTCAAAGGCTTGCTAATAACAGTGACATGAGCAGTGGTGAGGAAATGCGTTGGAGGGAGGATGACAGATCTCTTTGATAGCGTGCAGGCCAGGCTGCAGTGCGCAGGAAATTGCTGCAGAACACTGCGACTTTTCTCTCATTTCTGGGAGTGGGATCCTGTGCAGACACACGTATAGGTTCTGCTAACTCCACGCCCTGTTTGCTCAGGTTGTTTTAATCATCTGCCTTTGCATACTCATTTCAGTAGAGCTGTTAGTGTACACATTTTCGACGGCCTTGATTCTGGAAATTTTTTTTTTGTTGACATGTTCTGACAGGAATTACAACAATACAAACTTTGAATGGACATAAACGTATTTGAAAATCAGGAGAGGATGTGTACTTAAATTATTGTCAATAATAAGACTTTGTAAGTCAGTGATTAAAAATACACAATAATATGTATTTAAAGTTTATTATAAAATATTCTTAATATACACTACCAATGAAAATTTCGGGGTCAGTAAGATTTATTTAGTTTTTTTTTAGAAATTAATATTTTTTTTCAGCAATGATGCATTAAATTGACCAAAAATGACAGTAAAGACATGTATAATGTTCAAAGGATTTCTATTTCAAATAAATGTTGTTCTTTTGAACATTCTATTGATCAAATAATCCTGAAAAAAAAAAGAATCACAGTTTCCACAATATTATTAAGTATCACAATTGTTTTCAACACTGATAATATTCAGAAATGTTTGTGGAGCAGCAAATCACCATATTCAAATATACTAAAATAGAAAACAGTTATTTTAACTGTTATGAAACTGTTGTAATTTTACTTTTAATGTTTATACTGTATTTTTCAAATCAAATGCTGTAAATGCCCACTCAGTGAGCAGAAGAGAATTATGATAAAAAAAAAATATTTAAAAAAAATGTGTGTATACAAATACTGTATATAAGCTTCACGGAAATGGGCGGTCAGTGCTGAGTTTCCATGGTAACAGTGACTTCTCTGATTGGTAGATCTCTCTTCAGGATTATGGGTAATGTAGTTCTCCACTAGAAATTACACTATTCAACTATTTTTTATTTATTTTTTTAATTAAGTTGAAATCACATCACATTGTGGCTTCTATATCAGGCCAGAGCTTTTTGTAATTGTGTTTTAAAAGGTTTGCACATTCTGGCTAGAAATTAATTTCTCAATTGAAAAAAAAAAAATAAAAAATTAGATTTTTACTCCCATAACCCAAATGTTGCACACTACAATCACACTGTATATTTATCCGTCATTGTAGTACCCTGACAAGTCTAAACCACCAGACATTATGAACCTCTACATTGGACCCCTTTGTGCAACTCTCAATAAATTCACTACTGAACAAAACAAAACATATTTTTATGAGTGCGAATGTCCATCCAATGCATCAAAGTCTGGCGTGTTCATTTTGTTCTCCAAATAGCAGATTGTCTGGCAAGCGCTGCTGGTGGTAAACTGTTGAAAAATGACACAAGGCTGATAAATTCATATGTCAGGTGTATTAGAGCCAAGGCAGGACGGCCACAGCCAAAGGTTAAGCTGACCCATTTAATGAGCTCATTAGCGCATTCATCAGCACTCTTCAGATAGGCCATCCCACAGCCTGTTGTTTGCTTGTTTATTTTCACAGTGCAAGCGATGGGCAAAGAGGAAGTCATCTGAAGGACAGAGCATGCCCAGTCTGTTTAACTGGCACGGTCAGGCTGGCAGGCGGCACACCAGTCTCCCCAGTGCCACTTGGGTCTGTGCGCGAGCGAATCCGCTCGCTCTTCTGAACACAAGCCTGGTCTGTTCTGCGTGAGAGAATGAGGCCATTGTGGATATAAGCTCAAGTGAAATTCTGACACTACAAAGCGTTTGAAACACAGGTAGTGTCAGTGTCTATTTAAAGAGGCCTCGGCTGTGAATACGAATGTGATGAACTTGGGCGACGTTGCGAACACAAAGGCACCATCAAAAAAATCAGGATCTCTCCGCAGCAAATAGAGACATAGGTGAACCAGCAGAGAGCAATTTGTGTCTGTTTGTATAAATGAGAATGAAATGTTCGGAGAGCTTGGGAGAATTTCAGGCATGCTGTGATAAGCAGGTACTGTGAGAGGAAGCAGCAGAAGCTAAGACGCTGAAGGGGTTTTTAAATGTTTTTAAGATGAGTCCTCTGTGCCTTTCCTCTGATCATACATAATGGAGTCTCATTAAATGCGCTCAGTGTGTCACACTCACTCGCAGGAAGCCGTCCAAAGAGCCGTTCTCCATGTACTCGGTCACTATCATCACAGGTTTACCTGAGGAGAGAGAAAATTCAGACATGTCTCAGTCTAATCGAGAAAAGATGTGCCACTGTGCTTTGCTGCACTGCTGTCATTTCTGCTCGAAGGTTGAATTACCCAATTAGCAAACTAATGAGCTTATGTTGGACAAAAGAAAACATCTTCAAGAGAAAAATATAATACATTCAAAGGCATGGATAAGTTCGACCCTTGAGTTTAGATATATATGCTCATCATGATGACTTCCAAAGTTATTTCAATGACAACATCAAATACGTCAAGAGGAGATTCATGAGTGAACAGGTCATGAAACCCGTCAAGAACATTTTTTGCATTATTTTCATGACAATTAAGCACGTTTAAAAGTTTGGGGTGAGTAAGGGTTTTAAATGTTTTTGAAAGACGTCTCTTATGCTCATGAAGACTGCATAAAAAGCACAATATTGAGAAATATTATTATATATTATTTATATTATTAATTTAAAATAACTATTATAATATATTTTAAAATGTAATTTATTCTGATTCAGTGTCACATGATCCTTTAGAATCATTTATTTGAAACAGAAATCTTTTAAAACATGATTAATGACTTTACTGTCACTTTTTGATCAATTTAATTACCATTTTGCTGGAAAGTAAAATAAAATAGTAAAACACAATTTGTTTCTGGGCTGAAATGTGATCTGAGTTCCTGACGGGTTTCATGAGATTCACTCTCATAGTGCTCGGCGCTGCCACACGTGGGTGTTATAAGGCTCCGGGTTAAGCAGCTGAATTTTTTTATAGAGTTTGAGAGGGTGAAGAGATCAGGTTGATGGCTACACACCAGGTTTTCAACACATCACAGACATTATCTGAAGCCCATAACAAGAGCAGAAGTGCAGCTCTTCACATGACACCCCTGACACAGCGGGTCAGCAATCATAACCGTGACTTACTGTGACTTCACCTAAATAAGAGTTTCCTGCAGGATGAAAAGAGTCTCGGCCTGAACTTGGATGGACCACAAGGTCAACTGTCACTGTCTGACAGCTTTATTTTCTCCGTCCTGCCACTCATAAATCACTGCCACTCGGTTTTATCATCTGCACTTTATCTGCGCCTTATTTCAAAGCCTGTTTGTAAAACGACTTTATATCAATAATAACCTGATGACCAGTTCGTGTTGTCACAATATGTATGTGCAGTAGTCATAATTTAGTATTTTTTTCCCCCTCCCAGCATCCCAACAGCAGACAGCACAGCACTGTGATGAATGAGATTTATGAAACATGCAATTAAAATGAGTGGAGAAGAGCAACACTGCACAACACATGAATATGCTGTAACAACAGTCTTGCTCACATCAAGCCGTTTATTCCAAAGAGTGGTATTAACACTGCAAAAAAAATAAATAAATATATATATATATATATATATATATTTTTTTTTTATCAGTATTTGCATCTTAAAATGCTATAAATTTACTTGGGAAGCAAAACTGCATAAATCAATTAGACTAAACTATAAAAAATATTAGAGTGTTTAGAGAGCATATCTAGAGATTTTCAAATCAGAAATTAAGCATTAGCGTTCTGGCAGGTCACATGAGTCAAGCTTGCATCAGCTGATTCTCAGCTGATCACATCTACCTATAGGAATACGACACCTATCGTGGCATTCCTATATAAGCTCTATTCAGTATTATTCAGCAGCTTTTCAGCTTCCTCCATCCCCAGCTCCTCCTTTTGCCACAATCAGGACTTGGCTTTCTGATATTCCTTGCTAATCAGACTCCTTTATCTTGAATAAAGTGTTACACTTAAATATCAAGTACATTAATGATATCTGCCTTGTTCTGTTCTGTTAACCCTAGGGGGGTTATTATTGCTGCTCTCCCTGCTCATTCATGACAGGCTGCATGGATGGGCAGGGAGTTTTTTGCCCAGAACAGAACCATACCGCCAAACCAAACGTTATGCTAAGTATCTATCATTTTGATGATAGTGGTCCTGACAGAACTAAGTTTTTTCTTACCCCAATGGAAAATATAACATTTAACATTTTTTAATTTAACATTTTTTAATACAATTTTTTAAACCATAAATCCTACAAAGTACGTTGGATTTATGCTTAAAATCTATTTGCCAAAAAAAAACTAAATAGAGTATAAATAAATGTATCTTGTTTTAATGATATCCAAATATTTACTGGAAAATATTTTTCATTTTGTGGTAGTGCAGTGTGCACTTATAATGTTTCTCTGCGCACAGTTAAATCAATACCCAAACTGTAATGGACTGGTCTTTAGATTTCAGTTGAGTTGTTTTATGGTTTTTCATAGCAAAAAAAAAATCCCTCCTCCTTAAACCGCACATCTCTCCTCTAAACTTTTGATCCTGAAATCCCGCTCATAATCAGAATCCTGGCCCCTTCGTCTCTGCGAAGCAGCAATCGCAGCTCCACAAATATTTTGCCTAACGCAGGGCCAAAAGCAGCAGGTTAAATGGGGTGTGAAAGTCTCTGGATTATTAAGAATTAACAGGGCAGAGTTAATAAATCACGTCACGTCAGAGGCTACAGGAGACACATGCCAACCTCCCCTGGCCCCACGGCCCAAACTCTGCACCACAGACTTACTTTCAATCACACGCAAAGTGCACCACCTCTCTAAACACACACACACACACACTACACAGGGTCGTTCTTCCCCAGCAACAGCCACAAATGACATTCATTTACAATTAAGTCTTACCATTATTTACAATCAAGAACTCTGAAGCGTGAGCACAGTAAAATGTACTCAGCCAACATAATCCTCATTTTATGAGGAATTATGGACATGAAAGGAAACTGTTACATTCCTTTACGAATTCTACTTAAAGCAGAATGAAGCAAAACTTGGCCAGGAACAGTACTAAGTAAAAATGTGAGGATTTATTAAAGCCTCAATGAATCACAAAATTCAAGTAAAAAGACTAAATTAAAACATTTGTTTTTTATATTTAAAGGGGTCATATGATGCTGCTAAAAGAACATTTACAGATCTTCTTTATGCACCAACAGCTTTTAACACTCCAAAGAGAAAGGAAAAATTGAAATCGCATCATATGACCCCTTTAAAATGTTACAAATATAAAGTTATTTTTTGAATAAAAATATGCTATTATGGGTTATTGTTTCGTTTTCCTCAACATTTGCTTTTGAACAATACACTACCGGTCAAAGGTTTGGAATAATTACGATTTTTAAATGTTTTTGAAACATTAAGTGTCTTATGCTCACCAAGGCTGCATTTATTTGATCAGTATTCAGCATATTAGAATGATTTCTGAATATTCATGACAGATGACTGGAGTGCATCACAGTAATAAATTACATTTTAAAATGAAAGCAGTCCTTTAAAATTGTAATGCTATTACAATTTTAATTAATTTATTTTGTTTTATTTGTTTATTTTGATCAAAACAAATTCAAAAACATCTTTTAAAAACCTTTACAAAAAGATCATAATTATTCCAAACCTTTGACCGATACTATATGTATTGCAAAGTGCATTTGCCCACAATTTATATTTAGCCATTTAATTACTTGAACATGCAAACAAAAATCCTGAAAAGCCTGATTTTTGTGCGTACGTGCAAGTGATTGAACATTTAAATATCAAATACATTGGGTCCACTTGGTAATGCGCATACGCCATACACATCCATCTGTGCTCGCTATCAATGGAGTGTACTAAATTTTGAAGGCTGTGCGCGAGACGGAGCAAAACGTGCAAAATTAAATATACCCCGGCCTTAATACTAGCAGTCTGTTTGAAGTCAGATAAGGTAAAGTGTGAACATTTTTTTCTATTTTCGCCTATATCATTAGGAAAAACAGCCCTACGGAGCCCTTGAGGAGGACTGTGGAATGGATTAGAGAATTTCGCTTTGATCAGGCTACATAATAGAGACTGATCTAGGGAGATTTACAAGCATACGTGATTTACAGCCCTGTGTGAATTGTCTCTCATGCTGGACACTGGCCCAATGTTACAAGAAAGAGGTCAATAAAACAGTGGCTTTCTGTGCAGAGGATTTGCCAACTTCATGACATCCACTAATATTCCATAACTGGAAACAGCTAATGTTTTATATGAGATACTCCCAAAAGGACGAGCGTTGAACTAACAAATCTAAACATGATAAATTAATCTTCTGAACGGATTCAACTCACCATAGGGCACATGAGAATTATCATATAAATCACTTATCTTTCTCCTTTTAACGTGGGATAATAAAAATGGTATCAGAAGTAAATTTTAAACAGGTGTGAAGTGTAACTTACTGCGCGTGACGACACCCTCCAACCTGATGATGTTGGGGTGGTTGAACTGTCCCATGATGCTCGCTTCACTGAGGAAGTCCCGCCTTTGCTTCTCTGTGTATCCGGCTTTGAGCGTCTTGATGGCCACACAGATCTCCTTCTTAGACGGAAGCTTCAGTCGGCCGCTGCACACCTCTCCAAACTCCCCTGGTGAGAGACGGTTGTTTTAGAGAAAATGAAGGCTAACATGAGAAGCACTGATTTCTGTTCTAATTAAACTGCATCCCATGTTAATTACCTCTCCTCACTGGAGTTGTCAGATTTAAGAATTACATCTAAGCTTTGTCTGTCTAAGAAACAAGACATAGTCATCTGTGGGAAGATGGGACAAAACATCCAATAGGAATGAACTGGAGATTTCCCAGAACATTTTTGGTAAAATGTGCTTGTAAATTGGCAAAATGTATTAGATATAATTCATGTGGTTTGAAATGTAATTTAACATTGCATTGCATGCAAAACTGTTTTCAACAATGATCATTTTTTGAGCTCAAATCAGCATATTATTATTAAATCTGAAGTATCATGTGACACTGAAGACTGGAGTAATGATGCTTTGTGTCAGAGGAATATATAACATTTATTACAAATTACATAAATTACATTTATTATTAACAGTTATTTTAAGCTATAATAAAGGCCAATCGCATAGAATCGCAATCGCATGAATAGATCCCACTTAAATTGATTTCTAGTTCACGTACGCAGGTGTAAGCTGGAGATCAGATCTCCACTATGGATGATGCTGACAGAGACTTGGATGGACATTTGGGTAAAGATGATGTCACCACCTTGACATCCAAGCCAGGGCCGTGTCCTATTTGCGTAATTCGACATGCAATTACTTTATTTCCCATGCAAGTTTAGAGAGATGGGTGAAATCCAGGCTTGATGTCTGGAAAAAGTTAGCCGGAATAATTGCAAGCTGTCTAAACAGCCGCCATGCTGGACTTGGCCAGCGTTCAGATGATGTTGACCATCTGAAATATCAACCTGGCTTAATCCTCAGCAGTGATCACTCTGATAAGCTATGCAGACAAATGAAGGTCTACCGAATCCACGCTAATAGATAATTTTCCAAGCTATATAAAAAAAAAAAAACAACCCCTATCTGCACTTTTGCATCGCTTGCCAAGGTGTACGAAAGCCGTAAAATGCAGATTTACAATAGAAGTGACATCTGAAGCAGGGAATGTGCTTATTTGTAGTGCATGAATCCTGATGTTTGTATGCCGACTTTACGGTGGTACATCAAAAGTGAGCGGTTTCTTTATTTGCTGGGCACTGCTGCATTGTCTACAGAGCCATGAATCACAAGGCATTATCTTGATATGTGCTTGGCTGTTTAAGACATCAGGGATGTGGAGAGAGAGAGAGCTGTGGGGGGTGAAATATAATATATCCCAGTCGGAGGCGTGCTCTGCTTACCCATGCTCCTCTGCTTCGGCAGCAGGCAGTCTATTAAAGGCATTGAGGCTCCCCTGGTGAGAGACGGTTGTTTTAGAGAAAATGAAGGCTAACATGAGAAGCACTGATTTCTGTTCTAATTAAACTGCATCCCATGTTAATTACCTCTCCTCACTGGAGTTGTCAGATTTAAGAATTACATCTAAGCTTTGTCTGTCTAAGAAACAAGACATAGTCATCTGTGGGAAGATGGGACAAAACATCCAATAGGAATGAACTGGAGATTTCCCAGAACATTTTTGGTAAAATGTGCTTGTAAATTGGCAAAATGTATTAGATATAATTCATGTGGTTTGAAATGTAATTTAACATTGCATTGCATGCAAAACTGTTTTCAACAATGATCATTTTTTGAGCTCAAATCAGCATATTATTATTAAATCTGAAGTATCATGTGACACTGAAGACTGGAGTAATGATGCTTTGTGTCAGAGGAATATATAACATTTATTACAAATTACATAAATTACATTTATTATTAACAGTTATTTTAAGCTATAATAAAGGCCAATCGCATAGAATCGCAATCGCATGAATAGATCCCACTTAAATTGATTTCTAGTTCACGTACGCAGGTGTAAGCTGGAGATCAGATCTCCACTATGGATGATGCTGACAGAGACTTGGATGGACATTTGGGTAAAGATGATGTCACCACCTTGACATCCAAGCCAGGGCCGTGTCCTATTTGCGTAATTCGACATGCAATTACTTTATTTCCCATGCAAGTTTAGAGAGATGGGTGAAATCCAGGCTTGATGTCTGGAAAAAGTTAGCCGGAATAATTGCAAGCTGTCTAAACAGCCGCCATGCTGGACTTGGCCAGCGTTCAGATGATGTTGACCATCTGAAATATCAACCTGGCTTAATCCTCAGCAGTGATCACTCTGATAAGCTATGCAGACAAATGAAGGTCTACCGAATCCACGCTAATAGATAATTTTCCAAGCTATATAAAAAAAAAAAAACAACCCCTATCTGCACTTTTGCATCGCTTGCCAAGGTGTACGAAAGCCGTAAAATGCAGATTTACAATAGAAGTGACATCTGAAGCAGGGAATGTGCTTATTTGTAGTGCATGAATCCTGATGTTTGTATGCCGACTTTACGGTGGTACATCAAAAGTGAGCGGTTTCTTTATTTGCTGGGCACTGCTGCATTGTCTACAGAGCCATGAATCACAAGGCATTATCTTGATATGTGCTTGGCTGTTTAAGACATCAGGGATGTGGAGAGAGAGAGAGCTGTGGGGGGTGAAATATAATATATCCCAGTCGGAGGCGTGCTCTGCTTACCCATGCTCCTCTGCTTCGGCAGCAGGCAGTCTATTAAAGGCATTGAGGCAGTGAGGATGAGCACTGGGAGGGACCCTTTCCCCATCTCAAAGCCACACCCCTCCAGCTGCGGTGCTAAATGATTCTCATTTACACCACCTGCCATGTTTGTTACAAGTGTATTTTGGTCCTGGACAGGTAACTTTCTTTCATTGCACCAAAGAGTGAGGGATGACGCCCCATACCTGCCCCAACCACTTTGTCGATGGCAATACAGGACGCGTCCAGTTCCTTGGCGAATTCGTGCACGGCTTGACTCGGGTCTTCGTAAGTGTGTGGGTCCACGTAAGTCTTGATGCCAGGCAGTCTCACTGAAAATCAAACAAAATATACACGATTGAACAAAATACCAATGCTTTTTTGTGGGTTTATTGCAAAATATGCATCTATATATACTCAAATATTTAAGAGTTTTGAGAGTATGGGGAAACCGACTCGATTACGTCATTTCTGGTGCTTCATGGGAGTGGGTGGAGTTCAGAGCTCAGAACTCATTTGGTGCGATCTGCTCACTGTGACTCTGATTGGTGGATTTTTTTTTAATAGCATCATATGTAATGTGTTTTACAGCAGCATCCCTGGTGAAAAACTACAATTGATATAATGTAAACTGATTGCTTCAATAAAAGCGTATACCATCGACTAACAACCTCTGTGCTCACAGTAGATCTGTCTTTAAAGGTTTATCATTAGGTTATTGTTAAAAATTAAGGTTATCGTTAAAAATCAAGTTCCCTATGGAGAATATGAAAGGCATTTTTATTTCTGGAACCCGACTGTTTCACTCTTTATATGGTTTCACTGTTTACATGGTTGAATAGGTGCAAGAAAGAAAAGACCAATCACAGTTGGGCATGAAAATAGATTTAGAAAAGAAGGCCAATCAGAATTCATTGTTCTAAATGGTGAACATTCTGTCAATGTAACACAAGATTTTCAAACATTTTTAGTAAATTTCCTTAAAAGTATAAAGGTCAGAAAAATAATAAAAAATGTTCGCCAATCCAACCCTGAATAACTTTTTTACGTACCATTTTACAATATTGAACTATAGTGTGTAGAAAACTGGCATGAGTGCCTCATCCATTTTGGATCTTAAGTTGTGCTTGGTTGCTAAGTTACAAACCTCCGCCCACACAGCTGCAAATTTGAGTCAGAGTTCACAAAACTTCAACCCAATGAGAAATGTGCATAAGGAAATTTCTTTGCCACTGGATGTCACTCAGGCACAATTCGTGCCAATTCCCAGTGAAATTACTGGATTTGGCTTGTTAAATTTTACAGAACAACACTAAAATGTGAGCGCACCTTAAAATCAACATGAAATAGTGACATAAATATTGTGACATATTTTGGTATAACTGCTTGAATGAGTAAATGTAGGGTGGGATTTGATTTAGTCGGGAATTGATTGGATCGTTGGATGCTAATTGCTGCAATCTCATGTGAGTGACAGCTTGCTGGAAGGGAGGGATTAAATCATCTGAAAAAATATGTTTTTCTTTAAAGTCTGTGACATGAATTTTAAAACATTCAAAATATTTATTTACATATTTATTACAACATTTATAATAAACACCGCAATGAAAAAGAATAAATGTCAATTCTGAATTTATGGTGACTTTAAGCCTGAAATTATTTATAAAACTTCAAATGTGTTTGTATGTTTATTGATTTAATTGCAGAAGTATAACATTTTGGGTTGGCAAGTTAGAAAAAACTCTAATTAGAATGTGTGAGGAATAAAGGGGTCATATGATGTTGCTAAAAAGAACATTATTTTGTGTATTTGGTGTAATAAAATGTGTTTATGCAGTTTAAGGTAAAAAAAACACATTATTTTCCACATACTGTACATTATTGTTTCTCCTCTATGCCCCGACTTTCTGAAACGCGCCAGTTTTTACAAAGCTCATCAATCTGAAAAGCGAGGTGTGCTCTGATTGGCCAGCTATCCAGTGCATTGTGATTGGCCGAATACCTCAAGCGTGTGATGGAAATGTTACGCCCCTTACCATATTGTGATGATGCCCTGTCCGGCCGGAGCGACGAGACAAAAACATTAAAACCCATTATAAATGAGGCATTTGTTGCATCCAGTGGGGACATAATTACGGATTATAATGACTTATACTGTCTTTTTGCGCGTTATGTGGGGGCGTGTTAGAACGAGCCGTTTTAGGTAGGCGTGGTTGACTCTTAACTTTTATAAAGAATATCTCTTTGGATTTGAGACTTTAGTCTTTGCAACTTTACAGATCTTCTTTATGCACCAAGAGCTTGTAACACTCCAAAGAGAAAGGAAAAATTTTAATCGCATCATATGACCCCTTTAATACAGTGCTGTCTTGCAAAAATTGTCTTTTGATGCTTATGAGCAGCATTTGCTGTGCTTGGGAGGTACCATATTTCGTCGCAGAGGTTGTTGATTTGAATCTTAACGATAGGAAGGTAAGGTTGTCAAGAAATGCAGTTTGCTGGGTTTGAAGATGGATAGGTCTATTATGGATGACCTAATCAGTTAGCTAAGCTATAGTCCTACAGGGCACCTCATGCAGGTTAATTTAAGAGAAATTGTGTGGGCCTCCATTAAATTTCCTTCCTGATACCTCTGCCAGTGTGAAAAATGGTAGCATATGGACAACTGGTTTGCTGTAACTCAGGAGCAAAGGGATATTATAAAAACCTCCACCATTACTGGGTTCTTGTGGGCTGTCTGACATTTAAAAATAAATACTAGAGCAAAACTCTGTTTTGATTTGAACTATTTGTAAGGAATGAGTATTAAACACTTGGAAAGAACCTGAATACTTGCAAGACTGAAGAATTATTGAGGTATACATATACTCACAGTGGCCGTTGCCAAAGGGCAGCCTCTTCTCATCTGGATGTTTGGACTTGCTATACCTACAAAACCTGTCAATTAAAGTGATGAAAAGCGTTAATTATTCTTAATGGCTTTAACTGGAACATTTTGCTTCTCTAAACGATGTACAAAGTGACTAAAACCTGAACAGACAAAAGTCAGAGCCAGGAACAACTTGACTGTTTTGCTTTGCTATGAGGCATGACAGTATTCTGGGGTCTTATAATAAGCCATAGATTCATGAACTCTTTCAATGGTGCCGTTTGCCAAAATCAGCCCCTCTGCATGACATGACACTCGACTCTCACGGTGCCCGTTACATTCGGCAGGAAAAATAACACGGCTTCTGCCAAGTGAATCGTCTACAACTATATATAGGCAGCAGACATGGAGGGGCACACATTTTCATACTTCATATCTGAAGGGTGGGAGATCAAGGGTCCTGGGGAGAGACTTGAGACAGCAAAGTGACAGCTTCAAGATGGGCACACTTAAAGCCCTGCGTGACTGCGCTTTGACTGACAGACAGACCTGCTAATCACAATGTAGAGCACTACAGTGAGGAGGATGATGGCCACGGCGGAGGAGACAGCGATCAGCACTACCTGACTGTTCTCACTGGAGATGGAAAAGGCTGTGGGAAAAGACACACAGAGAGAGAAAGAGACATTTTAAATTCACATTGGACAGAGTATGCAGCTTTTCAAGGGCTTTCCATGCTGTTCAAGCATGTAACATTTCTTTTTTTATTATCAAAATAATGACATTATCTGTCACTAAACCTATAGTACATCCCTCCATTCTTAGTTCATAACTCAATACTTCATACAGATTCAAACAGTAAGAAATAAAAAAGACACTCTATATCCCCTTGTGAAAAAGAAGTGTGCTTAATTGTATTGAGTGTGCATTTGTAGTTTGCTTCAAATTCTAAAAGTATATTTAAAATAAAATCAGATAATATAATATTAATGAAATAAAAGTCTACCTAAGTTTACTTGAAGAGAGTACACCTTCATAAATGTTTATAACACACTTAAGTACACTTTTAAAAAGTGCACTCTGTAAACGTAAATTTCAACATTTTATTTTAAATTACATTTTAAATCAATATGTTTTAACTTTTTTTGTCATGCTTTAAAGTACAATTATTGTGATGTATTGACTAACACATGTAATTTCAACTGTAGTGTGTTGTTTGATATTACATTTAAAGTTAATATATTTTACATGTACTAAATTGCAACTTCATCATTACAAATGTGTAATTACCAATATATTTTAATCCATGACATGCGATTCATGTTTCAACGGAAATGACAGTATATTTTAGTTTACCATGAATGCTTGTCAGTACTTTAACCATATTTAAGACAAATAAGTAATTATGAAATAAAGATGTATAAAAAAGCATTTTCAATCATGCAATTAAGTGTTCAAAAACATTACATTCAGATTGTACTTATATATTCATTTGAAGTACGACATTTCTGTAATAAGGTTTTTTTTATATGCTAAAGTGTATGAAGGTCCGTTTAGTATTTTTATATTTCACCTGCCAAGAGTTTACACACAGACACAACCTTTTTTTTTTACAGTCAATTTAAATTTCAAGTAATTGTGAGCACATTTTCTGTCACAACGATGATATGTCAACTCATAAACAGTAAAGTGTTTGTAATTTTTAGATAATTTCCCACATTATAAGTATTTCCCATTTGTAGCTAAAACATTCGCGATATGAAAAATGCATTTTTTAATCCGTCAACACGGTCTGTTTTTCTTCAGTAGATGGAGCTGACAGTAAGTTTGAAACAATCTTGTATTCTCAATCCATTCTTAATCAAATCTGAATGCTAGCTTTTAAATATTTATCATAAATATGTGACATGACAGCACAGGTTTTTTTCTATCAGATGGTGTTGACACATATTGAGTGATGGCAAAGAAAAACACATTTTGTGAGAAAAAAAGAAGCAGCAGGAGGTTGCATGCCAATGTAAATGATTAGCTCCAATGCTGAAAAGATTAATCCAAAATAATTCCTAGGAAATATGTATATTTGTAGATCTGTAGCTTTGCATCCCAGTACTCAATAATCAAGTCATCAGATTATTTTACACAATTTATACACTATCCTACATATCTATCTCTATTCATAAAACATTTTCTTTCATTATGGAATATCTGGTGACTGAGAAGCATAAGTCCATATTCAGAACTTTTCTGCATAAATGATGATCTCAGTAGCACCTCGGTGTACATTTCACACCAGCTATACATACAGAGGTGCCTATAGATGGCTGATCGTGCTCAGAAACCTGTGGAGAGCCACTCACAGTATCATTTCATTACATGAGTGTGCATTGATTTCCTATAAATGTTTCATTAGATAAAAAGGCCTTCAGCAATGCTGCACCACAATATAGAGGTTTACAAAATGCTCAGTCTAAGTGCTTAATAGTGCTGCAGACAACAGCTGCCATCATGGGACAAAAGATGCAGCATGTATCATTTTAGCCAAGTGGTTTATACTATGTAAATGACTTGTATGACAGCGTATTGGATCAGAAACCAAGGGAATGGCGAGCCTTTGTCTGCATTGTTCATTGTGCTCCACAGCTGTGAATAGATTGAATCCGGCGTCGTGACAGCAAGGGAATGTGACTGTAAATAGAGAACAGAATGACAGGAAGTATGTAAATGCTTACAGTCTGGACTGGTCTCAAACTCAAACTTGCGACTGCTCCCGCCGTATCCGGCCGCGGTTCGCGCTCTGATCTGCAGCAGGTAGGTGGTGTCGGGTTTTAGCCCATTCAGAGTAACGTTTGTGGCCTTTGACCTCAGGATGGTGTAGCTGGTCTCTTGTTCCTGCTGTAGGAAAGAAAGCAAGAGGAAAACAGAGATATGTTAGTTTTAGCTTAACATAAACATCCGAGCATCTTTGGCCTCCAAAATAAACGGCAGATAAATAAATCAGATTAATGGTGACTCAAATGCACTTTTATGATTTTTTTTGGTTATTATAATGCAATATTTCATAGAAATATGGAAGAACAAGGATAGAACAAGTCAACATGAAGAGCTTTTCACAACATATTTTAATTCATAATCTCAAGTACACTACTACTCAAATGTTTGGGGTCGGTAAGATGTTTTAATGTTTTTAAAATAAATCTCAGAGACTGTTTTTATTTGTTTAAAATACTGTAAAAATAGTAATATTACGAAATATTTTACAGTGTAAAATATTTAACCATTTTTCAGTTTTAATATGCAATTAGTTAATATTTTACTCAATTTCATTTCTTTTATTTCTATTTGAATATATTTTAAAATGTAATTTATTCCTGTGATCAAAGCTGAATTTTTAGCATCATTACTCCAGTCTTCAATGTCACATGATCCTTCAGAAATTAATATTTATTCAACATGCGTTATTATTATTATTATTTTTTTTTTTTATCAATGTTGAAAACAATTGTGCTACTTAATATTTTTTGTGGAAAGTGTGATACATTTTTTTTTCCAGGATTCTTTTGTGAATAGGAAGAGAAAATTAGAAATAGTTTGTATTTACTATGTATTTACTATCACTTTTGATCGATTTAGCTCATTCTTTCTGAATTAAAAGTATTAATTTCTTTTCAACTGTAGTACATTTCTGAGTAGAACAGGATATTCAATAAGCAAATATAAGTCGGACTTGATTATATCCAAAAGGATTTGAATAGTTTATGAAAAGTGAGATGCATTATTACCACCTACATAAAATATCTTCCCGGGACTGTTACTAATATGGACTGAGTTGCCTTAAAGGGACTTCAGAGCGACCTAAGGCCACTTATGCAAAGCCTTGTCTTAAACAGGAATAGTGAGAATTTGAAGTAAATCATATCTCATTAGAGACATACAGAGGCATCCGTCTGTCTGACATGTGACCTTTCGAGCGTACAGGAGAGGGACGTCCCACCGGACGGTAAAATGCATGCTCATCAGGAGCATCTAAGGCTGCTTGGGACAGTGCCAGCTCATCTTAATATACTGCCACGTTCTTTTCACATTTTTATGGCTTTCCTAAAAAATTCTGTGGTATGCTGATCCTCTCTACAAGCAAAAAAAGCCTAGCTGATTTATGGGGCGTCTTTGCTTTCAAACCGTTGTTTCCAGATGTTTCTCTGACTGGAAAAAGAGGCAGGAGTGAAATGAGAAAGAGCGGAGGTTTCTGTTGTTTAATGTAGGAGTCCTGAAAAGGGGGAAAAACATCCCACAAACAGAGAGATCACACATTTGCCGGCATTATCCAGCACGTTCATTCATGTAACTTATCAGTCTTCAGCCATGGCTAGGTATTATGGCAAACCTTCAAAAGTTGATTTGCATTTTGCTCCATCGTTGACCTCTAAGATTAGCTCACTTGTCCATACTGTAGATACTGAATTTCCCCACGCTGAAGTAATTAATGGCAAATGAGATTTGAGAGCATCTTTTCGAGTATTGGCAAACACGTAACAGATTAAAGCTCGATTGGGTTTCATGTCTAGACTACACATGTTAATATGATTTTTGATGCATGCTGGTATGGACCATAATTGTCAGACGCCACTAGATGAGAGATGCAGTGTACAGTTACATACACTGGCTTTCTTTGAATATCCTTTGCTTATCCAATAATCAGAAACAAATAAAACAGCAATGATAGCACAGCCACATTTAGAACAATGCTGCACTGATATAACGGCAAGTACACAAGCAACAAGGCTTTCAAAATGCGAAAAACTGATTTTGTTTTTCAGATTTTTTTTTTTTTTTAAAAAGCATATTAAATTCTGTAAAGCAGATTAAATTTCAAAAGTTGTTTTTTTGGAGTTTATTTATTTATTGGAAAAAAGTAATAATAATACTTTTTTTCAGCAAGCACACATTCAATTAATAATAATACAAAAATGACAGTCAAGACTTTTACATTGTTATAAAAGATTTCAATTTTAAATAAATGCTGTTCTTTTGAACTTCCAATTTATCAAATAATGTATTCCATTTTTCACAAAATGATTAAGCAGCACAAATATTTTCAACTATGATAATTATAAGAAATTTTGATCACAATACCAGCATATAAACAGTAATACCTTCTGAAAATTGCTTTTGCCATTGAAGGAATAAATTATATTTTGAAAAATATTAAAATAGAAAACAGCTATTTTAAAATGTAATCATATTTCACAACAGTTTTTACTATGTTTTTGATCAAATATATTTAAAATATAAAAAATAATGTTATATGTGTATATATATATATATATATATATATATGTGTGTGTGTGTGTGTGTGTGTGTGTGTGTGTTATATCTTACCGATCCCAATTACAGAAGATACATAATACATAATATAGAAAAAATATAATAAATATACAGCACAGAATTATAATTATAAATAATTATAAGGTTTTTTTTTTTTCTCTCCGAAGTGTACCCAAATGTTGAGTATATGACCTCACATGTATATGAGATTTCTAAAGCCAAAGAAATATGGAATATACAAGCAAAAAATAAAAGCAACAAACATGCACAGGCAATATGCGTCTTTACGGCTTAAATACACATTTCACCACATAAGTAATAATATTTGACATTGACCAGACTTATACAATCAAAACTAGACCGCTGGTTTAGACTGAACATGTTACTTACAGCATTCAAAATAAATGAAAAGCCATATTTTATCAGCATTGCATGTTTTTTTTTCACATTTCTTTTCAAAATGAGCCAGTACGTGCTGTGATGATGGCAAAACATGGGTTCCTGTTAGATCGTAGATGGTCTTGTTGGCCTTACATCTGTTAATGCGGCTGAGTTTTGGAATTTTTGTGATAATGTTCAAGCTGTATTACAGAAACATCCTAACTCTGAATCCTCTCTGTATAGTAACCAAGGTCATTCCATTGAGTAAATATAACTTTTTAAAATCTGGAGTCAAGAATTAAGATAGGAAGTTTCTGCAATACAGCTCTAGAAGCCTAAATTGGAAGCAGTAATTTGGAAATGGGGTGTTTTGGCTCCTCTCACAGCACTTTTCGAATGAAAAACTAATCCAAAACAGCTTTTTCCGGGGTGCCCGAAGAGCCCGTAAGTGTCACCAGCGAGCATCTGTTTGTAAAAAGTGATTTCATCAGTAGATCTATATATCTAGCAGACTGACAAAACCCATCATGGAAAGAAACGTACATATGACTCCAGTGGAAAGCCAGTGACTAATGCAAACATCACATTTGATCTGGATCCGATGACAATCATTTCTACTCCTTTCCCGAACACAGCACAGAAACCATTTCAAACCTCTAGACTTTGAATGCAAAACCACAAATGGAGCGCATCAGGTTTTATGGTTTGAGGAGGCCTCGATTATAAATTCGCTCTGCCACGGAAGACGAAACCAATACCTTGCATCGTATTGTATGCGTCTCTGTTTGAGTCATAAATCTTTTCACAGGTTGTCACTGTTCACTACTCACGACATCATGTGATCAGCTGGAAATCATATACAGGTGTGTCGAAATTTTTGCTGCAAAAAATATATATTCTTAGCATATGTCCTAGGTCCGCATCAGCCACCTCCCAGCTCTGGGGTTTCACAAGGCGTGCAACTGTTACTTTTCGACAAGTGCGCTATTGGTGGAATTTAATATGCTTGTCATGTTCTACTTTGACAGTCTAAATATTGCAATCTGGGCTTACAGCCTCTCTCCGCTAAAGAAGAAATTCTGTAAATATGAAATGGCTTTTCCCCAAGCATTCCTTCCATCCAAGCTGGAGGAGAAATAAACATTCTCAAATACGCTCCGAGATCAATACGATAAACGGACGAAATAATCACAAATGTGCACCATTTCCACTTGTATGAAGAACATTAAAAAGCTCTACCCATCAATAACGCCAGTTTTAGAGTGTTGCCGAAAAGACGAGAGCGATCGGGAATGCTGTAACGTCAGGGAAACATGAGCCAGGGTACTCAAGTATTTAGAGATGCTTGAATTGTAAGGCTCTTTCCTCTCTCATAGAATTGTTAATTTAATATATATACACAAAGAGGAGAGTATTTCCCCCCTAGCGTATAATCAAAAAGAAATTTACTTTAAGTGAAGCAACATGGACCTCTTGGACCTCCGGACTGGATGACGCTTTCTCACAGGAGCTGCATCACTCGGGTTACCGAGCATCTCGTTGCCTTTTTGGGAATCCATTAAGCGCAGTTTGTTTGATTGTGCGCTATACAACATTATGCAGTGTAAACATCATGGAGTTTTTGAACTCGGCCTGTTGATGCCACATTTTCTTTGAAAAGTCATTTAGCAGATCTGGCTCTCTTTTATGAGGTTTATATATTCAAGTCTGCGGCCAGTGTGTCAGTGAATCCAGTAAGAAGATTTGGGGCCCTCTTTGCTTCTCAGTGTGTGTGTTTGTGTGTATTTTGTGAGGGTGAAGGTGGCTTGTTATCCTCTGCCAACCTACATCAAGGGGCACCGAGGGTCTTACCGAGGGTGTCCCTGGCTTTTCCACATGGCAGCACCGCTTGTGTAGGATTTGGGTGACTCCAGCTATGCCTGATGAAGCAGTGCCTCACAAGGTTGTGTAATTAACAGGAATCAATGGAGAGATGGACTAGATTTCATTGTGAACAGGGAACACTGTGCCACCCAGGGTCAAATGAGACATGGAGGATTTCAGGAGCCCCCGAGTGTACTTGTGCCAGATGGTGAAAATAGCTCGCGATGAGCTGCCTTTTGCTTGCAAATGAGGGGATTACGGCCGAGTGAAAGCATTTCTACTGGCGGAGATTTGGGCCTCACTGATCTCACAGAAAGACGCATCACAAAGGTCCTCTGTAGGAAGCACAGGATCCAACGAATCTAACCAACACTCAATCTTTGCCAGCAGATGGAAAAGTGCTATCAGCATATTTGGACTGAATGTAAATGTTGAACACATTCTGAGTGTAACTCATGAGCCGCTATCCTCAAAAGGTCAACTTATAAAGTTTGCCCGTTCAAGAACAATTCAGATGAAACATGTAGGCTTAACTTTTTACTGTGATTCTATGGATAACTTATTAGCTCATTCTGCAGAAGCTTAGGTTATATAATGGTTGTTTGTTGTTCAGCGCTAATCTTCATATACGGTAAATATGAGGCACAATCAGTGGCGGTATTAAACCCTGTTTGGAAATAAATCCCCAGATAACTCCAAGAGCCCTGTCAAAGTTATTTAACCAATAATGCTTACTTTAAGATAACTCATTGCAGATTTTTAAATGCTTTTATTCAGTAAGGATGCTTTAAATTGATTAAAAGTGACAGTAAAGACTTTTACATTGTTATAAAAAAGTATTTCTTTTGAACTTTCTATTCATCAAATAAACCTGAAAAAATTATCATAGTTTCTACAACAACAGAACACACACACACACACACACTATATATACAGTGGGTACGGAAAGTATTCAGACAAAATTAACTTAAATGATTTTAGCAAATGGCTGCAATATAACAAAGAGTGAAAAATTTAAGGGGGTCTGAATACTTTCCGTACCCACTGTATATATATATATATATTAGGGGTGTAATGGTTCTCGGTAAAAAAATCAAACTGTACCGTTCTCCACCCACGGCTCGGCACGCACTTGCACCGCGGTTCAACTTAAATCTGACAACGCATCTGTAATACGGTTCGTTAAAAATAACAACATGTAAAACAGACAGAGTTCGACTAATATATTTTTCTGTCGATTGGCGATGCGCGTGCATTCTGGCTTCCCAATACATTATAAAAAAACAAAAAACATATCAGTGTACTGGATCCGTGCATTGTCTTAAAGTGACAGCAGGCTATTTACCTGCTGTCTGTGTTTTTAATGTTAATCAAACAACAAAAGACAAGGATATCACTCACTGCTTTTGATTGAATAGCTTTTGTAACTTTAATAAGGATTAATCTTCAAGTTATATAGTCAAATATGCAATGCTATTTTACATTTGATTACTTTATTAAATTTCTGTACCTAGAAATTAATGTTATACCTACCTAAAAAACCTGAAAAACCCTGAAAAGCTATCTATCTATCTATCTATCTATCTATCTATCTATCTATCTTTTTTTTTTTTGCTGTGTCACTCAGCCCTAGTATTCGGAAAGTAAACAGTACAGGATCAAATGAGCTGCTGGTCTAAAACACTTGCATGAGCTTTCAATTTTGAACTTAAGACCTCTTTGTCATGATGAGGATGAACCATGTCTTGGAGACAACCGAATCCTATCCTGTCTACAGTTTCAATATGTGCATCTCTGTGTGGTCATACAGTCAAACCATTTACCCACTAAAGCTACGGAATGTTTTTTGCTGCGGGAAGAATTCTGGACGGTTGCCACTGGAGACTGTTCTAGGGCTTTCTTTCACACCCTCAGATCCCCTGCCAGTTCGGGAGAGGAGACTCCCACAATGTCAGGGCCCAGTTAAATTCCAAACCCAGAGTCGCACTTTCTTCAGAGCGAGGGAGACGTTACCCACTTCACCTATAGCAGAAGACATCACAGGATCTGACAGTATGAAAGAGTCCCCTGAAAACTGACCCTAAAAGAGCAGCGCTGATGTGGCACAACAATACTGACCCTCAATCAAAACCCAATCTCTATAAGGCTCATTAATCATACGGCATCTGTAGGAAAGCAGCCGAGGGGCCGACCAGACTGGGTCGTGACTGGAGAGGAGAGGTTTTTTTTTTTTTAGATGGGCGAGCATGGGCTTGCAGCCCACAAGGGCTATAATGGGTAGGTGGTGTTTAGATCAGTGCCTCCAGTGTTACAAGACCAAAGCCGAGATCATCTGTCACTTTCACAGATTGTTAAGAAGGCTTAAAATGAACTGACCTGGTCAGTGAGTACTAAGCAATGTTTCCTCTAAACTGCCTGTGCACTTCCTGCACAGACAGACAGAAATCTGCTTGTCCATTGATTTTAAATATGGAAATGTAGCTTTGAGAAATCGTGTGTGTAAATACGCAGCCCTGATTAATTGGAAGTGCATTATCTTTTTTCATTATTTATCTTGCTTTCTGTTTGTTTCTTTTTTTCCATGATCTCGATAAAAAAATACACATGCATATTAATGTAGTTCAATTTGTCTGCTGTCTAAACAATCAAGTTTGAGGACTGCACAATTTAAGTACACAGTAAAAAAAAAAAATAATAATTTTTCGAAGGAGCGAATAAAGCAAAGATTATTGGAGTATGTTTTACAAGAAAATACTGTTTCAGCTTTTCTACTTCAAAATCTCATGTTTAATTTAATGTGTCACTTGCTGTTTCTTTGTAATTGTGAAATTTGTTACCAAATTCAGAGGGGAATTGTTTCTGCACCAGTTTTTTTTTTTCTCAGATTTGTAGAATTACTTTTATTTTATTTTATTTTATTTTATTTTATTTTATTTTATTTTACTTTATTTTATTTTATTTTATTTTATTTTATTTTATTTTATTTTATTTTACTAGGCCACAATTAAAAAAAATGTCATAATTGTGCTGTTGTTGTTGCTGTTATTATTACTATAGAATTTATTATATAATTTGGTCTACCAACATAGTCTAATAAATAAACTACTCTTTAGAGAGTTTTTAAAAAATATTTGTAAGTAATTATATGATATGTTTATACCGAATATATAATACACTTTATTATTATATAATATATTATGTTTTCTTTGCAAAAAAACAAAACAAAAAATAAATAAATGAAATAAAATAAAATAATAAAAAAACATATAATATAAAAAACATATATATATAAAAAAAAAAAAAAAAACACTTGAATCACTGGGGTGATTCTGTTTAGTTGGCTGAAGAGACTGTCCAAAAGAAATAGGTTTCGCTCAATGAAAGCAAAAATTAAGGTAACATTGGTTCAAAATTTCATTTCAGGCAAACATCTCTTAGCAGAGCAGACAGACTCTATTTCACCTCGAACAATCAAATTAAGCCACATCAACTAATGACTTGAAATGCTCCCAGGTATATGAATGTGCACTCTGGACCAAGATTGCTAATGATGCCAAATATAAGGGCAAAGTGATGACTTCAAATGAAAATGTTAATGCACTGAATGCCCACAGCGAATCAAAATTAAACTGCTCCCACCTTCTCATAGTATTTGACCTCATAGTCCAAAATGATTCCATTGGGTCTCTCTGGCTCCATCCATGACAGTGAGATGCTGTTTCTGGATGTTCGGTCCTTCCTGATGACAGTCACTGCAGATGGAGCTGCACAGAGAGAGGGAGAGAAACACACAAAATGGAAAAAAAGTGGATTAGCTGTTTCCACTCAGGCTGTGATGGTATTACAAGCACATAAAGCCTAAGGTCATGGGAAGTTCAGCTGACATTTTCATTCAACAATTTGCATTCTGTGAACTGGTTCCTGTTGACCTAATCGAGTTTGGTCTCCACTGGGGGCCGGTTTCAAAGTTGGGACTGAAAGACAAATTGATGCAATCAGGCAATGGCTGGTTCCTGCAAACAGTGGCTACTTTCATGTCAAGTCAGTACCTCTAAATTTAAAGCTTGGCTCATTAATTCAGGGCTTTGTGATGCCAAGGACCCCCACTTATGAAGTAATCCATTCATGAGTGACCCAGTTTCTAAATAATGAAAGCAGGTACTGTGAAAATACTATGAAATATTATTCCAATTCATAATGACTGTTTTATATTTGAATATATTTTAAATGTATTTATTTCTGTGATCAAAGCTGAATTTTCAGCATCATTACTCCAGTCTTCAGTGTCACATGATCCTTCAGAAATCATTATAATATACTGATTTGCTGCTCAGGAAACATTTATTATTATTAGCAATGTCGAAAACAGTTGTGCTGCTTAATATATTTTTGTGGAAATCATGATACAGGATTCTTTAATTAAAAAAAAAGTTTAAAATAACAGAATATAATTGAAATAAAAATATTTTGTATCATTATAAACGTCTTTACTCTCCCTTTTGATCAATTCAATGTGTCCTTACTGAATAAAAGTATTAAATTCATGTATTTATATATTTTTATTTATATATTTATAATGTGTGACCAATAGTAATTGTGATATTTGGGATATAATGACAATGCCATAATAATAATATTAATAGAAATAATTTGTTTTTATAATTATATTTATTTATTTATTTATTTATACTCAATTTATCCTTAGTTTTTTATTATTATTATTATCTCCACTGTGCCATTCATACCTTGCACTGTTTTTGACGGTCCTACAACTTAAATGTAAATTTTACAAATTTGTCTCAAAACTCTTCCATTGTGCTCTTTCTAGCTGTATTCTTACGTAAACACCATCATTTGATCAAGGTCTGGCGAACCAGCATAATTATTCAGGGCACCCCTGAGATAGATTAGCAATCTAGTCATTTACTGATTGCTGATTACTGATAACCCTCCGACTAGTCAATTATTTTTGAAAAATGTAAATGCTACAGGCATCCAGCGCAAAGTCTCCCTCCGCTCTGGCACTTCACATGGTCACAATCTGTGACTGTAATTCAAGTCCCGCTCTCCTCCAGCCTGGCACTCGTGTTCTTTTTCAAATTTACAGCTCTGTAATTGCAAGGCAGCAATGAGGCCATGGAGGCATCTGACTTGCCTGTGTTTTAATTTTATTAGACCACAGGAAAAACATGTTGTTCTTTCAAATGTTCATGCTTTCCTTGATTGTGATTATACAGTCTTGAAATGCTTCTTTTCCCCTGGAACTCTTTCGTTTTTTTTTTCCGTCTATTTCTCTTTGTTAATGAATCCAGATGGGCTCACTCTGTTTCAGTTTGCAGCCCCGCTGCACAAGCCCCTTCCCTACGGCACTCTGATAGGGGAGGAATTATTGAAGTTATATAGTGGCCGCAGTTTATGGAAGCTCTGATTTATAATGTCTGGACAGCAGGCTCATTTGACACTGTGTATCTATCTCAGCGTTCACAGCGTGAACAGATCAACTTTGTCTTAAAATCAAAAGACAAACACTGGTTCCTACAAACCTTCTGAAAGAAAGTGACAGCAAAGAGAGCGATTATGATTATGTTTTTAAAACCAAGTGAGCAGCCTTCTTAGGGAGCATTTTATGGCATCATAGGTACACTCTTGGGATGTGTCTGAATAGTTTTTGATATTTTGTTGTGTTTTTGTCATTTTTATCTTTTTTTAATTTGTCAGTATAATTGTAATCATTTTTATTGATTCTTTTTAGTTAATTTAGCTTTAGTTATTTTAGTACTTCAAGTCAAACTAAGCGAGAAATGAGAAATCGTGTCTTGGCAGCTAGCTGATATAAAATAATTAAAACTAACAAAATAATTAAAAATAATTAAAAGTAAGAAGAATGCTATTAATGGTTTTAATTTTAGTGAATGATAACAGCCCTGTTCCAAAATCACCCCCTATACCCTTATATAGTGCACTATTTGAGGGGACAAATTTGTAGTGATGTCCGCAACCATAGTGGACATTGTCAAGTGCACTCATTCAATCCCATAATGCACCTGAGTTAGAAGGGGTACAATCAAAGCCACTGGAAGGCAAGCATTCAACCTTTAGCCAAAAAAGTGTAGCTGCAGCTGCGGCTTTAGCAGGGAACGAGATCAGAGGCCGTGTTTTTGTTTTTGTTTTGGAATGGATGTCAATGTAGGAGAGGCTTCACTATGCTGAATAAACAGCTTTTTTTAGGAAATAGCTTATCATTTAATTAATCGACAACCTGTTCGCTAATCTTCAACATGTTTTACACTAAACAATACTTTTGTTGGGAAATATATGTCAATTTTACCTTGATAAAAATTTTATTTTTCAAGGGAAGGCAGAGTAGGGAATGTCGCGACAGGTAGGACTCATTTAAAACATTATTACCAGCAAATGTGTGTTGCATTACTATTTATAATATTGTTTATTGTCTAAAAATATCAACGTTTTCTTTCTTTAGTTTTCAGGTTTTACCTGAAATTAGACTTGAATTGTAATGACTATTATGTGACCATATTCCTTATGCTGATATAATGCATTTTAATGAATAAAGCACAACTATTTAAATTATTGTATTATATTGTATGTTCTTTAATGAAAATATAATTTCTTCTTTCTATTGCTTCCAAGTTTCAATAAATAGACTTGAAATGTAATGACTTGTGACTGCTGCCTATTGTCACGGGTCAGGGTGCCCTCTGGCTCCCTCTGCTGTCTGTGTGTCATCTCTTTTTCGGCAGCTTGTGATCGGTGCAATCAGTGCTGATCTGGCAGTGGGGCTGCGCGGGTTACTGGCTGCCTCTACCCCACCTGTTGCTTATTACCCTTTCCTTTATATTCCTCTTCCGTCTAGTTCTTGTTGTGAGTAGATTGTTTTGTGTTCGATGTGTTTTGTGTCCGGGGTTCTGGTTGTGTCATTCTCAAATGTTACACTCACCTCTGTCTTCCCTGCTCCCAGGACGCATAGAGAGAAGGACTTCATCTCTCTGCCTCACTCAACTCTCAGGTTGTTGGTCCTGGGCCAGCGCTGAGTCTTGGGAAATCTTCTAATCCCTTGGTCCGCATCACACTGCTGACCGAAGTTGGATTACCCCCAGAGACTGGCTCGCTATTCACTGAACTCTCAGGTTTGTGGTCCTGGGTGAGCGCTGAGTCTTGGGCTATCTTCTAATCCCTTGGTCCGCATCACACTGCCGACCGAAGTTGGATTACCCCCAGAGACGGGCTCGCTATTTTGGTTACAGTTTTATTTGTTTTTGTTACCTTTGGAGAATAAACTTTCTTTGCATCTAATCCTCTGCCTTCGAGTCCCCTGTCTGCCTCGGCCCGTCACAGAATCTACTCACCAGATATTATGGACACAGCAGAGGAGGATGAGATGCGCCGAGCCCTGATGCAGCAGGACGTTCTTCTGGGTCAACATCAGGAGGAGATCGCGGCTTCCCGCCGCGCATACTCCAAGATCTCTCTCCAGCTTAACCAGCTGGTTGAACGGTTGGATCAGCTACACACCAGCCCTCCCGCGGCCGCTACGGTAACTCCTCCTCCCGACCCCGTTGGAACTAGTAGCCGTTGCACTGAACCACGGCTCAATCCTCCTGCTCCTTACTCGGGTGAGCCTAACACTTGTCGCTCCTTTTTGTCCCAATGCTCTCTGACTTTCTCGCTGCAGCCTTCCTGTTTTCCCACGGAGCAGTCCAAGGTAGCTTTCACCATCATGCTCTTGCTCATGCTGAATGGCCATGTGGGATATCGAGCACAACTGCTGTTCCTCCTTTGAGAGTTTCT